CTCCCTGCTTATTTAACTTATATGCAGAATTCATCATGCGAAAGGCTGGGCTGGATGAATCCCAAGCCGGAATTAAGATTGCCGGAAGAAATATTAACAACCTCAGATATGCAGATGATACAACCTTGATGGCAGAAAGTGAGGAGGAATTAAAGAACCTTTTATTGAGGGTGAAAGAGGAGAGCACAAAATATGGTCTGAAGCTCAACATCAAAAAAACGAAGATCATGGCCACTGGTCCCATCACCTCCTGGCAAATAGAAGGGGAAGAAATGGAGGCAGTGAGAGATTTTACTTTCTTGGGCTGCATGATCACTGCAGGTGGTGACAGCAGCCACGAAATTAAAAGACGCCTACTTCTTGGGAGAAAAGCAATGACAAACCTAGACAGCATCTTAAAAAGTAGAGACATCACATTGCCAACAAAACTCCGTATAGTTAAAGCTACGGTTTTCCCAGTAGTGATGTATGGAAATGAGAGCTGGACCATAAAGAAGGCTGATCGCCGAAGAATTGATGCTTTTGAATTATGGTGCTGGAGGAGACTCTTGAGAGTCCCATGGACTGCAAGAAGATCAAACGTATCCATTCTTAAGGAAATCAGCCCTGAGTGCTCACTGGAAGGACAGATCGTGAAGCTGAGGCTCCAATACTTTGGCCACCTCATGAGAAGAGAAGACTCCTTGGAAAAGACCCTGATGTTGGGAAAGATGGAGGGCACAAGAAGAAGGGGACGACAGAGGACGAGATGGTTGGATAGTGTTCTCGAAGCTACCAGCATGAATTTGACCAAACTGCGGGAGGCAGTGGAAGACAGAAGTGCCTGGCGTGCACTGGTCCATGGGGTCACGAAGAGTCGGACACGACTGAACGACTAAACAACAACAAAATGGCTATATAGACGAAGTCCCAGTTGCTTGACCATAGTAGTCAAACCATGCAAATAGTATCACCATAAAACTGAAAGATACATCATTGGGGCTTTAATCTGACACCCACAAATTCTGGGAATGCTTATGAGTTTTAGGGTTGTATATGAGGACTATCTGTACAAATCATAGTGTTGTGTCATTGTAGTGTTGCTAACTTAAGTTCGTGACATAATGAACCCACGCAAACTATTACAGACAGTTGTTGACATTCATCGGTCTTGGGAGACAATGGAGTGCAGTGCACCTTCTGTGGCTGCAGATTGGTAACTCATAACTGCTCCCCCCCCCACCTCCGGGGCACAAGTCTGGGCAATGAGTATTAAAGTCCTGGGCAGCCCAGATGACAAATAAACCCTCTCAGTCTCACTGACGTGGTCCAAAGGAAAGCAGAGCAGTACATTTGGGACCAGCTTGGCTACAGGAGTTGCTGGAAGGAGGTGTACAAGATGCCATCCAACCGGACTCAACTCTGGATTTGTGTAAAGATCTTATTTGGAGACAGTGAAGTGAAGTGGCTGGTAGGAAGGCAAGAAACAGGCCTTCTCAATTGGAGCACCTAAGTTATGAAAAAGGGATCTCCTCATTCACTCAGTGCATTCCCACCCAGACATCTTTTAGCCACCAGTTCAAAATGTTGCTAATCAAGTCTAGAATCTTGTATGTATTTTCTTACAGAGCAATTCAAACCCAGTTTATACCAGGCTGAGGTAGCGGTGTTTGGATCGAGCAGAGATGCCTCTCCACCCACCTCTGCCAGCTCCCTGTAGCCTCCACCTGTGGAGTGATGCCAGCATCATTATGCTAGTGAGGAGCTCCCTCATCATTCTGCAGAACATGGAAAGTGGAAAGCCCAGGAAGAGGCACTCTGGGGGAAGGGAGGGTCTGAGCATGCCCAGAATTTATTAGATCCTGAAGCAGCTCAACTGCCATCCAGTAACAGTAATAGACCTGATCCAGGCCCGGCCACTGTGTTAGCTGCCACCACCACTGCATTCTGCCCTGGTTGGCATGCTTCAAAGGCCGTGGATGTGGTGGTGTCCCACAGCTCCATTAAACCTTACTGGCGGTAGCGGGCAGGGTTAGGACTGCCCCATTAATGTGTGTGGATGTGCTTAAGGCTTTTGCTTATGCTGCTATTGTTCTTGTTTTTGTGTTGCTTCTGCTGTACTTGCCATTTTTATCTTTTTGTTCTGTTTTATTATTTCTTGGCTCTTAGTCCTGCTAACTTTCATTGTAAGCCACCTCATTGGTTGACATCTTCTCACATTGTGAATATTTTAGAAATTAATTTGAATGGTTAGGTGCTTTTTTGCCATTGTTTGGTCCATTGTTGCAGCCATAATTTATTCATTTTATTACATTTTTAACTCCCTTTATTACATCGTGGAACCCAAAGTGGTGTATCTGTGGTTTCCAAACAGTCAGCCATCCAGGCATTGACCTGACCCAGCGCTACTTAATTTCAGCAAGGTGCTAGCCCTATGTGTCTTCATCCCATATCCTTGGATAATGTGATAGGGTTACCACAAGACTACCGTATTTTTCGCTCTATAAGACGCACCAGACCACAAGACGCACCTAGTTTTTGGAGGAGGGAAACAAGAAAAAAATATTCTGAATCTCAGAAGCCAGAACAGCAAGAGGGATCGCTGCGCAGTGAAAGCAGCAATCCCTCTTGCTGTTCTGGCTTCTGGGATAGCTGCGCAGCCTGCATTCGCTCCATAAGATGCACACACATTTCCCCTTACTTTTTAGGAGGAAAAAAGTGAGTCTTATAGAGCAAAAAATACAGTAGTTTGCAAAGAGGGTGAGGCATGCCAGTGTAAGATGAATGGCGGTGAAGATGAATGGCAACAATTTGTTGTTGTTGTTGTTATGTATATACTGCCCATCATGTGAAGATTAGATTTCAGGGCAGTTACCTTTAGTATGATAATCACAGATTGACCAGCAGGACCCTGTCAGACATCCTTGGAAAACTATTTAGAGAGATATCTCTGCTGTATCTGCAAACTGATTGTCTAAATTCACCTTCAGGATCCCAAGATGACCATTAGAATTTGAAGCAGACCATAGCTGGAAGGCAGGGTCTGCTTGAAGCATTATTGATGGGCACAATCATTGTTCAAGTTCAATTTCTTTTACAGCTATAAGTTTCTTTTATAAAGGGAACGTCTGTAAATGATCAAATAAAAATGTTTATCTTCAATTCCTAAACCCAGACATGTGGAACTAATTTGCTAAAAAATATGTTATTTTCAGTCTAAAATGTTATAAGAGGCAAACAGATTTCCACCCCGCATTTTAATCAGTTTGGATGAGTTGAAAGCATATTACAAAACTGAACCTACATCTATTTTTGGGAAGTGCCAGATTGTCCATACATGATGCACTTTTGGAACTTTTGGAAGTTCTGTATAATGTATTCAATGAATGTTCCTTAGGAGGGCTAAACAGCAGTTCAGATGTGTAATATAGTAACTTGCTCCCCAAATCATCCAGCAGGTATTGTGTATTATAATTTTGTATTGAATGCCCTTTCAGGGGCTCTGATGGGGGAAGGCTTAGCAGGCAAAAGGTTCCAGGTTCAATCTCTGGCATCTCCAAAACGAAGGTCATAATGGAGTGGCAGGACTGTCACGTGATGGTGATGAGGTTGGTTTGAGATTCAACTGATACCAAGCCAGCTTAATCCCTGGTTTAGAGCAATGGGGCTTCCTGTTTTCCTCTCATGCATGCCCCATCAGCTCTGGGAGGTCAGCAGAACACCCAGAACAGCATACAGGAGGAGAGTGGGGATTGTGCCATTGGCATAAGCATTTCGTCTTGCCAGATGGAGCAATCACAGTGCAATCCAATTCCACCCATATTTATTGCTTTGTCCGGTCAGATTCTATAATCTCCAGAGTTTGAGGGTTTGCTTGCGGGTCTGTTGGCAGGCCATTAAAGATAATCTATCTGTATGTAGTGGGAACCATCTGGAAGAAATGGGATTAGCATAGCCTTTAAGAACAAAGCAAGGATTTTGATCTGTCCTAAGGCTGCATATAAATGTGCATAAATTCAGCAGTAAGCCCACTAATATGTGACACATGTTACGATTGCCTTCTTTCCAGAATCAGAGTTTAGATGCAAGGCTCCATGGTTTGAGTAGAAGCCAAATTTGCACAGTTCTGCTTGGCTGTACCTTCTATAAATCACTTCTCAGAGCAAGGCTGTGCCTAGCACTGATTGTGTCAGTCAGAAAGCCATGTCTCCCACCTAGAACTTCTGCTATGCTGACTTAAAGCAAGACTGCCACTTGCCTTCTGCATCTAGGGACCCAACTAGACATGATATTTGCCACATAGTTTGGCCTTACATAGCTGGGATGGGGGGTGAGAGGGACAAACCAGAACACACTAGTCAGTGCAGGGAGAGGGCTAAGCCAGAACACACAAACTACTGAATAGTGAAAACTCAACTAGGGGGGTGGAGTTCAAGACAAACATTTGGCCAAAAGCCAATCAGCCTCAAAAAGAGGATGTAAATTCAAACCTCAGCTCAGAGTTTTGGAGAAGATACAGTAGCTATTCCTTTTGTATTGCTTTGTGTTGGAAACATTATATGGAGATACATTATAGGAACATAAGGAACTGTTTATATAATTACACATCCAATGTTGCTAGTAAAATTGGAGATTTTTCAGTAGGCTACTTAGATTTATTTATTTATTTTCACATGCAGACAAAATCTAAGCAGCCTACTAAAATGCCTGCTTTATGTAGCAGTAAGCATCCATGCACACAAACACTGCATTGATGGTCACAAAGCATACACAGTCGTACGTGTTTATGTGAGGATCAAAATTTCACCTGCTGGCTCGGACCTTTTTTGTGCCTGTGGTCTTCATGCATTGAAGGTTTTATCCACACTTCAAAGCCCAATGTTTAGACTCACCATGGACAAAGTGTGTCCTTGAAAATGGAAGTATTGATTCTGTCTTCAGATCTTAAGGGCACTGAGATGTGTACACATATGTTCTTGCATGCACAGAACCTCCAATTGCATGGAGTTTGAATGCAGCAAGGGATTGGGTCACAGTTCATCTCTCTCTCTCTCTCTCTCTCTCTCTCTCTCTCACACACACACACACACACACACACACACACACACAGAGAGAGAGAGAGAGAGAGAGTACTGTATTTCTATTATAGATAGTGTTGTTCATTTTTTTTAAAAGGTTAGTTATTCCCATTTCACTGTATTTGCTCACACAACAGTATCACCTTGGAGAGAAGCAATCAGTTGTGTTTCACGGCTATGATTTCCCTTCTACACGGAAATAACTTTCTCTCTAAAGCAAATATTAATTTCCATTTCAACAGATACAAGCAAAGTCAAAATTCCCCATCTTCTTGGTGGCAAATGGCTGAAAAGCATGGTGAAAAGCTTTCTTTCTTAACAAACTTAAATCCTGGCCTAGACCAATTACTGTGATTGGAGTGTAACTGTGTACTCTCCGCACAGATACAAACCAATCCTCATTTTTCTTCATGGAACTTTGTCAACCTGTGTCAATTGGTGGGGGGAGGAGTTGTAGATGTTGTCCCCAAGTACTCCACTTTACTTTTCCCTTCTTTTGCCCATTCTGCTCAGTTCGGTATCTTCTTATCCTGGTAAATACAGAGCAAAATCAGTTCTATAGATGGAAGCCTGGTCCTCTCACTTACTTAGCCCAAGGCAACAACCTCAAAGAAGGAGTTTTAAGATAAGGAACATGTTACTTTCCCCTTCTTAAAGCTGGTGCCTTCTGAAGAATTTATGTTTGTTAGACAAAGACACCAGAAATGAATCAACACGGCCTTCAATCCTAAATCCTAGATCCATTTTCTTTCTCTTCCCCAAAGACATATTGTGCATTTGGTGGTGTCAATCTGTTTCCAATGCTTCATTCCCTCAACCCTAGAGTTACACCATTTCCCAGTGCCAACTGGTTTGAAGCATTCTGTCTCTCATACTCCCGCCTGAGCATGACCACAAGACACATGTTATCAACTGACAAATTACAGGGAGAAATGTTACTCATGGAGGACTGAGACCCAAGGCAAGGCATCTACCAAGTGTATAATTAAACTGAGATATAAGAAGAGAATTCTCAACTTATAACTTATGATCTTCATCATGGTTCTACACCAGCTCTTCCAAAGTCCACTGATCTTCTAGCACATGCACATCTTCCCTCCTTCCACCTTGCACTGAACCCAGCATTGTTAGCTTCAAAGTCACCTGAGACCGGATTCTGGGTTATTCAGTTTCAACAACTTACGATTCTTCTGGCATGGTTCCTGCACAATAAGCCACCAGCCATTTCCTTAGCTGGCCCAGTCTCACATGACTCCTCAGGAGTCTCCTTAGCATGATGCGACATCTGGAGAAGACTGGGCTTCTCAGAGAAAGGGGAGCCCTTACTGTGAAATCAGGTCTCTTGTGATTTTTCTACCACTCCTTGGGATGAGGCACCACTGAGCAAGGCGAATTTTTCACTGTTTCACATAATGATATCCTTGATTATCTCACATGTTTTGCATGTGTTGCAAATGCTTTGAAACGTTCCTCTTTTTAAATATTTTTTTTAAATATTGACTTCCTATCCATCTCCAAGTTTAGTAGGAACACCCTGGTTATGTGGGGGTAAACTGCCTTCACACAATATGCATGATGATAAGTGCCTGTGATCTTTCAAACAGTGTTTTAGAACAATGCAACAATATAAAACTTGTTCTATAGGAAGGGTAATTGGATGGAATAGTTGCATATTATATCTGAAGCTTTGAAATTTAGCTGTCAAGCATGTCAGTAACACATTAGTTAATCTTAAATGGATTAGAATTATAGTCAACAAAACTTATGTGCTGTGATTAAAAGAGTCATATTTTGCATGTCAAAAAGTGCCCCTTAAAAAAGATATAAAATCAATATATTCTCCAGCTCCCCATTTCCTTTATATTGATATGGGTGTCATTTTCTTTTTGTTCTAAAATGCTGAGACAATAATAACATGATTATTGATAGGGCAAATGTTCCCAGCAATTACAAAGAGGTTTGAGTTGGCAATTTGACAATGTGCAGGTTATTTGTCATGAGGTAAGTAAAATAGACACTAAAACCATATTGGACATAGCCAGCTATTATGGAGAATAGTGTGGGCTGAACGTGGCTTTGTTTCGCTTATAATTCCAGATATGGCTATGGTTTAGTGGTACGGTTCTTCTAGGTGAAAGAAGTCAAGGTTTTAAAATAGCTCTTGGTATTCTAAACATGCCATCCATTAATCCATTAGTGTAGCATTATTATTAATTGTTGTTGTTGTTGTTGTTATCTTTTCTATACCGCCCTGTAGCATAAAAATACAGGATAAAAACACAAAATACATAATAAAAACAAGAACAGAAACAAAACAAACCAATAACCCCCTCTTCTCACCCCCTCCCACAAACACATTTAAAAGGGTATAGGATATTAATCAGCCCAAGGCCTGGTTGAAGAGGAAAGTTTTCACCTGGTGCCTAAAGGTGTGTAATGAAGGTGCCAGTCAAACCTCCCTAATTATTCTATGAAGAGCATAGAAAAGATTTTTAGATTTATGAAAGGCAGGTGGACTGATGGGGGTCAGAAGGAGTATGGCATTTAGAAAATAGAAAGATAACTTTAACAGGAAAGGATATTAGAAGTCTTGGGAAAGTAGGAAATGCTAAGAAAAAGACATGTTTGGGCAGCAGGTCCTTTTTCATCTTGGCAAGAATATGATATTCCTGTAATAGTCTAAATGCACTCATGACATTAAAAAATTCCCAATGGACAATGACTAGAGAGGTCTACGCAACTCAACACCACTACATCTTGAAATATTGAAGACACAAAGCCATGCAATTCCAACAAGAAAGAAAAGTGGAAGGCATTCAAATAAACCACAATGGCTGCATAATGAGCTGAGACATAAGAAGGGAATGTATAAGAAATGGATGAATGGAGAAACCACAAAGAAAGAGTATATATGAGTAGCCAACAGTTGCAGGGAGAAGGTCAGGTGAGCCAAGGCTCATAATGAATTCAGGTTTGCAAGAGAGGTTAAAAATAATAAAAGGTTTCTTTGACTATGTTCAAAGCAAGAGCAAGTAAGTAGTAGATACCTTTCATAGAAAAGATGGAGAAATGTTATTGGGTGACAGAGAGAAGGCAGAACTGCTCACCACCTACTCTGCCTCTGTCTTTATCCAAAAGGAAAGCAGTGCCCAACCTGGTGATAACAGAATCAACAATGCAAGGAGAGAGCTGCAGCCCAAGATAGGAAAAGAGGTGGTAAAGGAACATCTAGCTACTATAAATGAATTCAAACCACCAGATCCTGATGAGCTGCACACAAGGGTACTAAAGGAGCTTGCAGATGTAATCTCAGAGCCTTTGTCTATAATCTTTGAGAATTATTGTAGAACAGGTAAGGTCCCTGCAGACTAGAGGTGGGCAAATGTTGTCCCCATCTTCAAAAAAGGGGAAGAAAGAAGACCCACCAGTCAGCTTGACATCGATACCAGGAAAGGTTCTAGAAGAGATAAGTAAAGAATGGGTCTGTGAGCACTTAGAAAAGGATGCTGTGATTACTAAGACCCCCTCATGGGTTTTTACAGAGGAGAGCAACCAAGATGATCAAAGGTCTGGAAACCGAGCCTTCGGAGGAACGGTTAAGGGAATGGTTTAGCCTGGTAAAGAGAGGTCTGAGAGGAGATATGATAACCATCTTCAAATATCTAAAGGGCTGTCAAATGAGAGAGAGAACAAGCTTGTTTTCTCCTGCTCCAAAGGCTAGGACCTGAACCAAAGGAAAGGAGATTCTGGTTAAACATCAGGAAGTACTTTCTGACAGTAAGAGCTGTTTGGCAGTGGAACAGACTCCCATGAGAAGTGGTGGAATCTCCTTCCTTGGTGGTTTCTAAGCAGAGATTGGATGACCATCTGTATGATCTAGTTGAGATTCCTGCATTGCAGGGGGTTGGACTAGATGACCCTAGGAGTTCCTTACCACTCTACAATTCTATGATTCTAGTAGAATTCTGTGCAATGTTGAGATTTTTCAGTTCTCTAAAACAACGGAGGGCTCGGAAGAGAAACATCTTGAAAAGGCGTTTGAGCGTTTCTACATTGTTCTGCCACATTAACAGATTTTTTTTACAGTGAAAGCACTTCATTTTCCGAAAGAAAAGTGTGAAGGCAAATGTTTGGATGAAAAACATATTGCATCTTCTTCCCACCTCACTGTCTCAAAAGAGAGGCCTGGCATGGCTGGATTCCTGCCTTCTCTGCCTCCAGATTGTACACACTGCCTTAAGAACAGCATGATGAATCTCTTGCTTCAGATTTGCAGCAATCAACTGGCCGTTTTTTCCTCCGATGTTCAGGTGTGACAGTTGAGCAGCCATCAATATATTTGATAGTTCTAACCATCTTGTTTCATGTCTTGCTTGCCTGACGTTAGTCCCAGGTGCTGGCAACTATCCTGGATCAAGTGTTAATGCCCCAGATGGTTCACTAGCTTGGCTCCCCAAAAGTGAGTACTGTGCATGGGAAGTCAGCTGACTTTTATTGACTCTGGCTGTATTTTTCCACTATCAGTATTCCATCCATCTTCTCTTCTTACTGGGCTGACACCACCTGTTAATCCATCTGTGCTGTTTCTGTGCTGGAGCCTCAATCTCACACTTAACTTGCTTTCGCATCCGCAGACTCATTCCCTGTAAATGAAGCTGGCTGTCCCCATAAGCAAGTATCTGGATTGAAATGTTGAAATCCATGTAATTTTCCAATCTTGATAGATTGACTGTAAACCTTGAGATGTAATATGCTAATACAGCCTGACCCACCTCCAACTACTAACAAAAGGCTCAAGCTCCTTAATAGAATAATAAACGGGCCAGTCATAAAACAGGAGTGACATCCTTTGACTATAAGTGCCATGTTTAACAAGTGGCGCTTGTTAAAAAGTCCATGATTTTCAAGGTCTGCAATTATGCTCTCATCACTATTCCTCCTGAGACAATGCAAATAATTCCCTAAAAAGCATAACTAGTGTAACCCCACCTGCAAGGTGCATCACATATAAAGGTGTACTCTGTAGTCTCAAAGAATTATTTCTTTGTAACCCTTCTGTGTGTGATA